TAAAAAAAAAAAAAAAAAAAAAAAATGTCTAGGGGCCGACCTGTTGCTCTCTTGGGAGAATGTGGTGCTGGTAACACCAAGGCCATGGGTTCGGATCCCATATAGGGATGGCAGGTTAGCTCACTTGGGAGAGCGTGGTGCTGATAACACCAAGTCAAGGGTTAAGATCCCCTTACCGGTCATCTTTAAAAAAAAAATTCTGATCATGAATCTCCTCTGCTTAAACCCTGTATAACGTCCTTCCTGGTCTGGCCCCTGCCCACCTGTGCAGCTTATCCCGCCCCTCCCTCCTATTCTCCACTCCAGCCACATGGGCCTTCTTTCTGGGCTTTGGCCCATGCTGTCCTCATCTGCTATTCCCTTACCCTTCACCTGGCTAATGCTTGTTCATCTTGCAGGACTCAACTTTCTCCTGGAAATCTCCCCTCGTCGCTTTTGGGTGTCTCTTACCATTCATTACACTATACTATAATTGTCTGTTTACACTTCTATTTCACTACAATACTGGGAGCTCCTTGAGGAAAGGGACTGGATCTAGTCTACTCCTGTATTCCAAGCACCTGGCACACAGTAGGTGCTCAGTAAATGTTTGCTATTTGGAAGCTCTGCATGCTTGTCCATACTTCCCTCTTGAAGACCCTTGCCCCCCACCACACTGCTAAATATTCAATTTCTCTCTCTGTTTTTCCACCATACCTTCTATTCCCACACCCAGCTCCATCTCTCCCCTCCCCTCCCATCCACCCTCCCACCCTTGGGTCCTCATAGCCCTCTCTCATGTGATCTCCAAGGGGTGCTGTCTGCATGAGGCTTGGCATATACTGTCACTGGGTTCCTCTCCTCTCTAGCACCTAGCCTGGGGTTCATACACAACAGAAACTCAGTAATGGTGCCAACTTACTGACAGGACCTTTGGCCGATGCTCAGGAGTGACCTCTAAGCATGGGAACCCCTCCCCTCAGTCATTGCTGGTCAAATGAATCTTGCACAAAGAAGTATACATGGGTCACATGCTCCTGCCAGGCTCTCTCCACCCTCTAGGTCTTTGCACATGCTGTTCCCTCTGCCTTGAACCTTCTCTCTCATCTTGGCTAGCTCCCTCATCCTTCAGACCTGAGTTTCGGAGTCATGTCCTCTGAAGAGCCTTCCTGACCATGATGATGGACTTAGGTGCACCCCTAAGTTTGCCATGGCACCTGGTATTTGCTTCTTTGTTAGCCCATAGCCCAAAGTGCTTTCAAAGCCAGTTTACATGGTCTGCATGCTACACCAGACTGAAAACTCTACCAGGACAGGAGATGTGTCTCTCCAAAGCCTAGCACACAATAAAAATTTGTTGAGTGAATGATTGATTGAATGAATAAAAGAAAGAAAATGACCATCTGATACTGAACAAGTCATTCCCTGTCTTTGGACCTTAGTTTCTTCTTCTGTAAAGTGGGGCAGGAAAATGTGGAACAGTGGTATTCTGGTAAATGTTTAATAACCAGGGGAAAAAGCACTCCTTTGTGACAATTGCCAATTTCCACTGTGTAAATTCTCTCAGCATGGCTGACTTCAATGTGAACAATGGGCTTTTACCAGCACGTGCAAGCCACCTCCAGCTCACCACTGCAGGTGGAGTGGCTTGAGGCAGATGGCCTCCAAGGCACTTTCTAGCTCCAACATCTGGAATTCCTTTTTATTTATTTATTTATTTTTTACAAAAGATGACTGGTAAGGGGATCTTAACCCTCGACTTGGTGTTGTCAGCACCACACTCTCCCAAGTGAGCCACGGGCCAGCCCTCCAACATTCTTCCTTGTACTAGGCTCCTCCCCAGCTTCCCCAGGACTCTGGAGGTAAGAGGTCAGGCTGCTCCCCACTCGCATTATCTCCCTAGACCCCCACTTATTTCTTGTCTCCAGTCCCAGAATCTGGAGAGTTACACCCAGGCCGCCTGATTCTTCTTATTGCCAGTATCCTAGAGGGAATTCCATGCCCTTTGGGGTGGGTAACTGTACATGTCTCTCCCAGGCAGCCTTTGCAGACTACTCTAGGCCTATTGGTTGGCTCAAGCCCTGTTCAGACCTGTGTAGAGGGATTATCTACTCTGTCCTCCCTATGATTCTGTGTCCCACCTTCCCACATGACCAGGACTCCCTGAGAGTAGGGGCTATGTCCAGTGTCAGTTTTTATCTTTTTTTTTTTAATTTATTTTTTTATCCATAGGACTCTGCTTCATAGTTTTTATCTTCCTTGACTTCTGACCTCTGACCTTGTTGGTGCTTCCCTCCTCTCAAAATTCTTTATTTGCCCTCTGGCTTTTTTCCTACCTCCTTTGATGCTCCCATTCAGTCTCCTTTGCCCATCTCTCCTGTGTCTGCATAGCCAGTGGTTTCCATGCCTGCAGTTTCCTCTGCCTGGAACACACTTTTCTCTCCCTTTCTGCCTGGCTATTCAAGCAGGTGCCAGTAGGTGGGCAGCCTGTGAGCCCTGTGCAAATTACTTTACGCTCTAAACCTGTTTTCCCTATCTATAAACTGAAGATAATAGTGGCAATTACCTCACAAGATTGTTGTGCAATTAGTGGGAAGAGCATGTAAAGTACTGACATAGCATCTAGTACACAGAAAGTGCTTAATAAATGTTGGTTATTATTATTCAGGACTCAGCTTAATCATCCCCTCCTCAGGCAGGCCTGCTCCACAACTGCAGACTGGGTTAGGTGCCCGGTTCTCTGCTCCCTAGCATTCTGAGCTTCCCTTTTTGGGGCACTCATCACATTCTGATTACTTGTTCCACGAGGACAACAGCCATTTCTGGCACACAGAAGGTACTGAGTAAATATTTGTGAATGAATGAATGAACGAATGATGTGGATGACTCATCTCTTCTGAAAGGAAACAGCCAGCCCCGGCCTTCTGCGACTCAGGACTGGCCTGGACACGCCCACCGGTAAGGAGAAGGCGGGGCTTGTTCCCTCTGCGCCAGCAGGTGGCGCCAGCGCCTGTCGGTCGCTTCCCGTGGCCACCTCCCTTGCCCTTGGCGCTGAGGGGTCTCAACTGGGGCTGGAGCTAAGTAAGCTCCAGACCCCAGGCAGCCAGGCCTGACTTGCTCACCTTCCTGGAGAGATGTTTTCCTAGGAGGTGCCCAGCCTAACTTGGCAGGGTAAGGGAGTGAGGGAATCCGGAGAAAGGGGCCAGCCTGAGGGGCTGGGGGTGCAGACCATGGGAGTCGTGGTGAGGCTGATGTTCTCTTGGGGACGTGAAATGAGGCAGTTAAGACAATCAGTGAGTCAAAAGCTGAGATCTAGGAACCAGACACAGCGTGGGAGACGGTGCAGTGAAATCAATCAGCGAAAGAGGAAGGGGAAGCCTGGTTTCCATGACAACGGAAGTGTTTGTGGGCAGCCTGGGACTCCTGGGTCCCCAGGGCTCGTGAGCAGTGATTCACCACAGGAAAGAGAAGGCTGTGGAGGGAGCCGGTGCTGGGGACTGGGTGCCCTGGGGCTCCTCGGTGCTCAGCATGTGCTCCCCTAAACCCTGCTCTAACAGGACTGGGAGAACTGAGGGATGGAGGAACTGAACCCC